ATAATTTCAACGTCCAAACAGAATCATGAATCACAACAAAACTCATACAATATGCATTCAAGTCATTTTCAAAAGTAAAATGCTTAAACTAAATAACATATATTTCATTAGATCCAACAAACAAATTACATATTATTTAAATTAAAATAACTACATGAATCCAACAAACATATCACAATGCGTGTAGTAAGTATAACCTCTCCGAAAAATCTTTTAATATATTCATATACACAATTTAACATGTTGAGATGTTGGTTCCTCCTATATAAGAAATAAAGTCAGATTTCTATTAAAATATAATCGAATATAATTAAGTTATAAATAATTGCAATTAAATAAATTTATATTTTTTTGTTTTTTCTTCGATGTATACTTGCTCTATTTTATTTTATTTAAAATAAATAGTGTAATATAAGCTGACATGTAGGTTTATGGGCCAGGCCTTATGAAAGTAAGTCTACGGTCTTTTTATTAAACAAGCTTTTTCAAGGTTCAAGCCCGACCTATTTTACAAAATATACTAGGTCAGGTCTGGCCTGACGTAGGCTGAACCGTAAGTCCCTGTAGGCCGGCCCGACCCAGTTTCACCCCTAATTGTATAAAGTAAGAATTCAATTGAATCATGAAAAGCTATATGTCTTCATTCAAATGCACCATTTTTCCTTATCTGCGTAGTGTGCCATGCACTAAACCACCTTTTTCTTGCTTTTGGACGTAATGCAGGACATGGTTGGATCTCACATAAGAAAAGAGGAAAGCAAAAAAGCAAGAAAATAATGTAGATTGCGTAGCTCTAGGCAAGCAACTTAAAAAACATTATTTGGTACGTAGTGCTTGTCCTTTAATTGTCCAAAATTTCCTACTTTGTTCTAGACCCCTTTTTTAAGGAATTGATGTAATTCTTGTTCAATAAATCTATCGTGTAGACGTGAGTTCTACGTAAGACGATTCCCTTAATTACAGTGAAGAACAAAAACGAAGTGTACAAGGTAATTTATTTATATTCAAGAAGCATGACATCTAATATTTTATACTGTACAGGCTATCAAAGTGTTAAATATTCGGTAAAATCCCAGAGACCTAGAGTGAAGTTTCCCACCGGAATTTGCTCGAAGAAATTTAGGGAGTGTTGGTAGGAGAGAAATTTTTTTTTACTTGAGAATTAAAATTTTGGAGAATAGGATGGGAAAATGAATTTTTTAAGAATGTTATCAAAATATTATTTGGTAGGCAAAAATATTTTCGAAAATGTTGGGTGAATTTTACAGATGGTATGTTTGGTTAATTGTAAAATATTGATGGGAATATGAAATAATTTTACAAAAATGCCTTCGCCTTCATTCTTTTCTTCAACACTGTTCATTGTTCAAACACACTGCATCTAACCCCATCATCGTTCTAATTGATTTCAAGGAACGTGCTATGTCTAGAGCCACAATCCAACCCACACTGGAGAACCACAACAACAACGCACAACGATTCTTGACATGTGCAACAAATTAGACCCCAAAAAATTATTAAACACAAAAGGATCCAAAGAAAATATATCAAGATCTGAATTCATCGAAAATAGCCATAAATTGAATTCGATTTTAGATTGATAGATTTTGTATTTGAAGTATGACAGCCATATCTGAATTTGGTACTTTCAAATGCAAAATCTATCAATCTAAAACCGAGAGCTGAAAAGCAAAATTTCTGATGATGACCTCCAGTGACCACCCACTTGTGTAGCACATTTACATAAGCATTTCTTGGTTTTATTTGTTGGAATTCACATATAATGTCAATTAATTGGTAGATATACGGGATAACAAATATTGTTTTCTGCTATAAAGAACAGTTAAATGTGATAACATTAACATTAACATTAACTATGATGACATTTCAAAGACACTTTATTGATCTGCAAATTGCTAAATTCTCACACCATCATTTTCAAATTCAAAGGCACCATCATCATCTGTTCTTTTATGCTCACGATGTTTTGGACTTGACTGGAGTAGGAAGCAGCTGCATTGCATAAACATGAGATCCTTGTCAATGAAACTGAGACTCCAAAGCATAATTGCAACCAAAAAAAGAGAGAGACCTAAATAGTCCCGCCAATGGTCTAGAAGAATATAAATCCTACCAAAGTTTCATGTGTCCTTGAAAGAACTCTAGCACTTTGTCAAAGCATGCATTGATATAGTGGTAGCTATTGATCTGCTTCAATTGGCACCCAACAAAGTCACTCCCAGAGTTACCGGAGCCTTTGGATTTGTTTCATCTCTAATATCTTGTTATCAGGTGCGTGCTAGTAACATTATGGTTCACTTCCCTCTTTAACCTGAAAAATTATATGTGTAACAATATTATGAAACCTTTCGCCGCCCTGGAAATTGAAAAAAAGAGAATTAGTATACAAAAAATGAAAACGAGTTCATAGCAATTTGTTTATAAAGTAAACAAAAATAATAATAATACAACATCCGCTACACATACGAACGAAGAAAAAAACACAAGCAAGAACTACACAGCATGAAATACGATGAAACCTTCCGCCCTAGAAAACAAAAAAAAAGAGAATTAGTATACAAAAAATGAAAACGAATTCAGATCATTTGTTTATAAAGTAACCAAAAATAATACTAATACAACAATCCCTACAAACACAAACGAAGAAACGGATCGGAGGCAAGCCAAAGTAAACAAAAAATAGTACCAATACAACAATCTCTACAAACACAAATGAAGAAAGAAATCGGAGGCAAGCCAAAAAAAATAAGAAACACAACTTCTCTATTTATACAAAATGAATATGCCCAACATTTTCCAAGGCAGAAGGTAGTGGGATTTAGTTGCATTGAAAATTTGAACTGCCATAAAAGCTGCACCATTTTTTCACGAAAATGAATTAATATCCCTTTTAATTTAAATTAATTTAGAATAAATTTATTTTAATTGAAAAGTTTTTAAAGAGGAAAAAATTTAAATTGAAGTAGTGTGAACACAAAGCTCAGGATGCGTAAGAAAAGGACACGTGAGCAAACTTGCTAACAAATGGTTTTACTTTAAAATATATATAGATTATAGGCCGTTAGATTTAATTCAAATCCAACGGTGATGAGATTAATTGTAAAGTTGGTAAACTTACCTAATGATAAGTATAATCGTCCTCTTCCTTATGTTTATAATTAGTTACGGTTAAAACAATTTTTTTAAGATTATATATTTGTTATATTTTCGACTGCCCTAGCATTAAATATATATGATGACTGTGCGCTGCCAGTAAATTTTGTGTACCTCAAGTATTTTAAAAGATAAATTAATAAGCACAAAAATATAATATAAAAAGATGCTTCGATTAGATAGATGGTCTATGTTTTCCCCAGCTATCCGATGCCATTTAAACCAAAAATGTAGATATTCCTCCTTCGAAATTTTAAACTTCTCAATTTAAGTGAACATATGCAGCATAAAATATAGAGAAAATGGACTCTCATTTTATATAAAAAAAAATCTTCTCTCATGCACATCCAAATTAGACGAGAGAGGAGAAAAAAAAAAAACATAGAGTGGATCTCACATTTAATTTATGTGCGTAGCAGACTCTCATGTAACATGACAGTCGATTAGGAAATTTTTGTAAAACTTTCCAATACACTTCTTACCCCATTAAACTTTCCCCAAATCAGGATGTTTGAAGGGTGATTTTTAACTCCAAATAAAAGGAAGAAAATACCTTTTATTTTTCTTCTTCTCCCTCCCTCTTGGTTCCCTTCCTTTCCAAGTTCCTAAACACACCCTAAGGCTTTGTTTAAGTGTTTGGAAAGGAAGGGAAAGAATGGGATCCAAGGGAGAGGGAGAGAAAGGAAGAGAAAAAAATTGAATGGTATTCTCTTCCATTGTTTGAGAGTTAAAAAAATGGTAAGAAAGAAAAAAGAAAGATTAATGAGATATTGTTACCATTTTATCTTTTTTTAAATTAATATAATTATTTTATTTTACAAATAAAATGAAATTTAAAATTTTAACAATTATTTATGTACTTTTCACGTTACTAAAAAAGATCATATTTTCAACGAAATTTCTACGATGCAAATGATGAAAATTTTGGTAAATTTTTTTTTTCGTCATAATGCTTTTCATCGAAAGGGGACGAAATTTTTTATCCGATGAAATATTTTACAGAAAGAAATTTTCACAGAATTTAGTTTCCTTCAAAAGTTTTGACAAAAATGATTTCTTAAATATTTTCAAAGGAAAAAATTCCATCAAAAATTTTGACTAAAAAAAATATTTCTGTCAAAACTTCAAGGAATGTTCTCCGTCCAAAATTTTCGATAAAAATGTGTTCAGACGAAAATTTTGACGAAAACATTTTGGTCAAAAAATTTTAGGAAAATTTTTCATTCGGAACTTTCGATGAAATTAAGATTCCACAAAAAATTTTAGCAAAATATTTTTTCAGTCGATATATTTTTCGTTAAAACTTTTTGCGGAAATATTTTCCGTCGAAAATATCAATAGTATGATCATATTCACCTTACCTCTCAAGGCACCTGCACCTACACCTACAATCAATAGAAGACTTTGCCGCCTCATCCATTTACTCAGAATAATCGAGGGATCCCCAAAACCTTGCAATCTCCTCATATTAATATCAATATTCTAAACACAAGATAATTATATTGATTGTACAAAAATTTGAATTGAGAATAAGAGTGTCTTTCAGGCACACCAGTAACTTTATGCCTAAAAGATCTTATACCAATCAAATCTAAAATCCAAATTCGAATAAAAAATAGATTTAAGCTAATATTTGAAAAAAAATTCATATAATTTTACTTTGATTGAGTGTAAACTGTTAAACTAATAATCTACCTGTCTTTCACACGCATCAAACATAACAATGGTAACACATCACATATAACAAAAATGGTAAAAGACGTATGTTCAAATTATAATATCCCATGTTCAGTTAAAAAAATCTAAACAAGTAGCTGCTAAGGGATGGTATCGGCAAGCTTTGGAGCAAACTGATGTTTGTATTTAATAAGGATTATGGCCCTTTATTTTGGACCGATTCTAAAACTGGTAACTATAGGAAAAGGTTGATTTGGAAGTAAAGTAGGTAAGAAACTTCAAGGTAGGTTACTATTGCCGTACTGGAAGAACATGAGCCAAAGTCTCATGGGTAGAGACCGATAGAGTCTGCAACTTGTAATCAGCTGAAATGAACCAAGTATTTTCCTCCATTGAAATTTTTTTAATTAGCTGCAGCAAAACTTGTTCCAATTCTTCTCCTTCACTCCACTCATGGATTTCAGCTTTAATAAGCAATGGTTCTTTGCATATCAACTCCCATACGGGGAAGTTCTTCCTTGGCATCACAAAATCTTTGTCTTTAAGCCTCAAGCTTGGACAGTAGTCCCCAACACCGTCCCCAAGATAGATGAACCTCTTGTTTGCAAAACGGGATATTGAGTTTTGAATCCTTTCTATGATTAGACCCTGTTCATAGAAAAATTAGAATTAGTCACAAAATGTCAAAATCAAGAAGTTTCTCAATCACGTCAGAAAACTTCAATCTATTTTTAATTAGATCAATTAACCATCACTGGTAACAATGATATCAAATGGATTAATATCTAGAGTCTTTGGTCCTAAACATTTTTCAAAATCTTGTAAATTTTTAATTTCCAAGATAATATCAAATCCAGGGGCTCAAATCAGAGAACCAAAGATAAGTAATAGTTAACAACTTATCGAAAGCAATAGTTCTAGAAACTTCTGTTGTTATATATCATATAGTTATTAGATTTGAGTCTATCTAAAATATCATCATTCAGAGGTAAAATTTTCTTACTGGTTTTTAGGAATGAAGGATAATTTTTGTTATCGAAAAAACCTTTTTAATAGTAAGGGATGTATGAAAGGTATGGATAGAAGATACACACACCTTGCACATGTTTGGAGGGCACAGACTGCAACTGTGAGGAGAGTTGTTGAAGTCATGGTAAGGCAACACTCTTAATATTCCCTCTTCATTAACATAACCTGGGTTAGTGTTAATCTCTGAGAAGCACTCCCTTATTCCCAAGTGCTTCAAAATTGTCTCGATAAAGAAAGTATTTGCATCGCTTACAATCCTCAAATCACACCTAAAAATTATAAATGCTACCATAAGTTTCTTCCTCCTCGAATCTTTGTCTATACATGAGGGAAAAAGAAAAAAAAAAAAGAAAAAAAAGAAAAGGGAAAGAGATACATACCCTAAAGCATTGGCTGCTTTAATGGCAGAGATTATTCTGGGGTGTATTGGAATCCTCTGCAGAACTTGTACAATGTCCTCAATTGTTTTTCCATGTGAATGAAGCTCCATCATCATCCTATCCTATAAAGCCAAAACCAAAAACAAAAGCCTAAGTTATTTATATCATAAACAACGTAGATTGTAGAGAAAGAAACATATACTCTTGAAAAAGAACAGAGCATAGGACTACCACATAATTAGAAACGCAAAATGGGAGCAAATCAAAAACTTACCATGAGAGTGTTCCAAGGCATGGTGGGAAGGAGCTCATTGAACAAATCATTGAAACCCAACTCGTCAACAACCCAATTGTCACTGTCACAGTCGATGATGGTCTTGTCGAAGTCGAAAACTACCACAATTCCAGCCATTATGGTAACAAAGCGAATGCACAAAATCACAACAACTCAGAAGAAAGAATCTGTTTCCCAAGAATTAGATTCCTATTGGGTGTCTCGAACGTACTGCTCTCAAAATCGTGTGTTGCCTTGGGTTTCTCCGAAGGGTATTTATAGTGAACGTGGAGCTAAAGTGAAGGAATATTATATTAGATTCTTATTGTGATTTCTGTATCTAACAAATTCCATCAGAGCCGTTGGATGTGATGAACTTCATTTTGGTCAAAAAATCGGAGGGCAAAGAGGGTGTGGTATAGATTTAGGTGTTAATAAAAAAAGGAATATTCGAGGGAATTTAAATGCAATTATGCATGTGCTGTTTTATCCCACATTTAAATTTGGATTGGATCTCTATTATCTTGTCTCACATGGTGAAAATTCCACCTAAAATTGGAGTTGTATATGGGATGAGATATTCAATCTATTTTTTTTTTTTTGTTATTTGTAATTTTGCAAATAAAGATATCTAATCATAGTTCACACGGTGAGTCTCTTGAAGATAATTGCTGGGTAATATTTCAGTTTGAATTACGTTACACTTTAATCTTACCATTTTTTACAATCTTCAAGAAAATGGATCTCACTTCAACAAATTAGAAATTAGTTGTCAAATTATAAGTTAATTATTATAATTTAGTGATAAAGCTTTAACAGAAATTCAATTTCATTAATGGCCCGCAAAAGTAATTAATAAAAATAGCGATACTGTTATAGAAAACATACATCTCAATTTTAATATGATTTCAATAACATAGTTGCATATTGCTATCATAAAATTATAAAAATTCTTGCGGGGTTTACTTAAAATTAAGTTCCACCACAGGACTAAAGAATTAGCTATTGCCCAAAACGTCATAATCATCAGATTTGGGCGTAAATCCTCTTCATAATTCTTACTTAATGCGCTTGAACAAAACTCGATTCACCCTCAATAAGTGTATTCAAGAATTTAATGTTCTCACAAAAAACAAAACAAAAAGAATTAATTTAAAGAATAAGATATTCTACTTTTTTTTTTGTCTACCTTATCTACTCATTTTTTCAATATTATTATATCAGAATCTCACTATTTGTCTCTCATCTTGAGATCTCCATCCAATAATATTAAAGATGAGTAAGTAGATAAGATAGGTAATAAAAAAGTAGATAAAATAACCAATCTCTTAATTTAGATGAGTTATTAATAAAAAATATAATTTATTATTAATTAGTAATAAGCCCGTTTGTTTCAACTAAAAGATATATACTTATGATATAATTTTTTAAATATTTTTAGAAGCTAACATTTTTAAAATTTAAGAATATTAATTTTTTTTTGAAGTTTCAGTTTATTGTTTGGAAAACTTATCTAACTAGTAGGAAAAAAAAAGTTAATCGTCTTTTTTTTTATCAATTTCTAACCAACTGAAATTCATCTTTATTTGTTACCTTCCGGCCCAAAAAAATAATCTTATTCCTGCTACAAGATTCGCCGACGAGGAAAATTGTAAAATATAATTATGAAAATAAAAATTAATTGACGATCATTGGACGCAAGAATTGCGCTGCGTGCAGTTAGAAATGTTTTTCCGATCGATGACTATAATGCATTTTTTGTTTCTTTACTCACATGCCATATGATTAAGATAATGATTGTATATTTTATTTTTACTATATATTGATGTGAAAAATATTTGTCATTTTAAATGACATCAAGTTATGTCATTTTAAGAGAGAGAAAGACACAAAAAATATTTTTTATTTAAAATTTAAATTAAAAAAAACCACTCACTTTCTCTCCCATGATTTTCATTTCTTGTGTCTATATCTTTCTTAAAATGACATAATTTATGTCATTTAAAATAACAAACATCAAATCGTATATTTATTGGTTTTGACTTACCAACAGATTTTATCCTACATATTTGATAATTGGGCCTTTTGACCCTAGTAGGGCAATTTTAATAACCTTTCACCGGCATAGTTTCACGGTGAAATGAATTACCTATGTAATGCAGAACAACGCGTTATATAGAGTATCACGTTGAGAAGTGATTGTGAATAAACCACATCCTTTACAAGTTTTATGCCAAACCGGGTGATTGATGCATGGAACACGGTATGGACAGGAACATGTTTGTTGATTGATGGACTGGAACGCGGCATGTACAGGATCATGTTTGTTGGTGATGGAAAACCAACCGTGTCCTTTACACATTTCACGACCGGATTGATGCATGGAACGCGACACGTGCAGGATCATGTTTTCTGATTGATGGACTGGAACGCGGCACATACAGGATCATGTTTGTTGGTGATAGAAAACAAACTGCGTCCTTTACACATTTCACGACCAAACACGGTGATTGATGGGAATATTGCAGAAGGAACATGTAACCCGTCCAGCCGCGTCTAGAAACGGTAGTCATGCAGACGCGTCTCGATGTAGTCAGCCAATGACATCCCTGCATTTGATGCGGTTCTGATGCAGCCACGGATATAACATGTTCTCTAGTACACCGCGACCAAAACCTACATATACATACACCTTTCCAGAACTGCATTTTCATTTTCACTCCCCGAAGTTGTCTAAACGTTTCCTTCTTTCTGCATTTTACCTAAGTGTTTCCCCGTTTTGTTAACTGAAAGCTGTGTTGTTGATCTATTACATATTTTCATTGTTCAATGAAGGTTTGTACAATGTTATATTTGCTCGTTTAATTATTATTTTATTATGACATTACTAATTTTATTGCATTTATATTTTGTTTAACTATTTACAGGAAAAATGAGTTCAAATTTACAAACAATTCATGCACTTATATACTATAATGGTAGAAAGGTGATGGGTCGTCGTGGTGTAACATTTGAAGGTGAAAAGAGACCGATGCGTATTACACGGGGTACTACTTTTGAGGGCTTGAAAGCAAACATTCACCATAAATTGGGGTTACTAGGGAATCAACATATTTCTGAAATCACTGTAAGAGCTCTTGCTGGCAGTTCTGAATACACAGCAATATCAATTACAGATGATGATGATGTTGATATTATATTAGATATTTTTGTGGAACAAGCTGAAACGAGTACTGATCAAACCCATGCTAGAAAGTTTGTGGAGATATACGTAGATTTTCAAAATACCGATGATTTGTCATTACCGATTCAGTCAGTTGATCTGAATACAGCACCAGACATTGATATGTTGAACAGGAATGCATCATCATCTGTGCTTCCAGTAGTGCCCAACGCTGCTATATTTGATGATGAAGACATTCCAACATATGATCAGAACGATGATGAACCAGAAGAAGAAGAGGATGCGTGCCTGGCAGCTGAAAATAATGACGATGAGTCGAATAGTGAAGATGACGACGATGTGCCGATGGGATGCCACAACAACGTCAATGAAACCACATCGAGTATTGTTGGGTATGAAAATGTCGTTGAAGGTTAGTTGACAAGTGATTTAAATTAAAAAATTAAAAATATTTGCAACGTATTCAACTAACGATTTAGTTGTTTGTATGTTACATAGGTACCAATGTGACCGCTAATGTAGGTCCTAATGTATCTCCATTTTGGAATGGAATATCACATTACTCATACATTAATTATGAGTATCCCAAAGAAGATCGAGAATACAACGAGAGAGAGTATCGTGGTGCATGGACCATTGGGGATGAGTTGTCTGTGAAACAAGAATTTGATTCTAAGGAATCAGTGCAAATGACTGTGAAGTCATATTGTATGAAAATTAATAAAGAAGCTGTTGTTGTTGAGAGCACGACTATGAAGCTAGTTTTGAGGTGCAAGGACTATGGTCGGGTTGTCCATGGGAATGAGGGCAATGAAACCAAAAAATGGATTAATGTGGGTTGTGAGTAGATGGGAGGGACCTCACAATTGTGTCACTTGTAACTTGTCTCAAGATCACAGACATCTTGATTCCGCCTTCATTGCTTCAACTATATTAGGTGAGTGTATTTTGTCGAAATAAATTTGTGGTGTCTCTTGTGTTAATATTCACTTTCAATATACAATGATGTGCCAATGTGTATTGTGTTGACAGATATGGTCAAGGAAGAACCACATGTATCGATCGGCTTGATATAAGAAAGAATTCGAAACAATTATGGGTTTACTATTTCATACAGGAAAGCTTGGAAGGCTAAACAAAAAGCCATGGCAAAAATCTATGGCGATTGGGACCAGTCTTATGCTTATTTGCCCAAATGGTTTAATTACATGCTGACATTTTCGGAGGGTTCTGTTTACCACATTCAAACAAATGACTACATGGAAAACCATCGTGTTGTGAATGGCTACCGGGTTTTCCATAGAGTTTTCTGGACTTTCAAGCAATGTTGTGACGCGTTCAACTTCTGCAAACCTGTTATACAAGTTGATGGCACTCATTTATATGGGAAGTATAAAGGTACATTATTGATTGCCACAACGCAAGATGGAAACGATGAAGTATTACCTTTGGCATTTGCAGTCGTAGAAGGTGAGACGAAGGAGTCATGGGAATATTTTTTGTCATGTATACGTTTGTATGTCACTCAAAAAATAGGCATATGCCTAATCTCAGATCGGCACCGTGGAATATTATCGGCTGTTGCAAACCCACATCTTGATTGGCAGCCTCCTAAGGCGTACCATGTTTTTTGCCTTAGACATGTTGGAAGTAACTTCAACCAAAGATTCAAGAATGAGGAATGGAAACTTGATTCACCCTCAATAAGTGTATTCAAGAATTTAATGTTCTCACAAAAAACAAAAAAAAAAAGAATTAATTTAAGAAATAAGATATTCTACCTATCTTTTCTTTGTCTAACTTATCTACTCATTTTCAATATTATTATATCAGAATCTCACTATTTGTCTCTCATCTTGAGATTCCGATCCAATAATATTAAAGATGTGTAAGTAGATAAGATAGGTAGTTATCCAAAAAAAAAAAAAAATAAGATAGGTAAGAAAAAAATAGATAGAATAACCAATCTCTTAATTTAGATGAGTTATTAATAAAAAATATAATTTATTTTTATATAGTAATGAGCCCGTTTGTTTCAACTAAAAGATATATACTTATGATATAATTTTTTAAATATTTTTAGAAGCTAACATTTTTAATATTTAAGAATATTAATTTTTTTTTTTGAAGTTTCAGTTTATTGTTTGGAAAACTTATCTAACTAGTAGGAAAAAAAATTAATCGTCTTTTTTTTTATCAATTTCTAACCAACTGAAATTCATCTTTATTTGTTACCTTCCGGCCCAAAAAAATAATCTTATTCCTGCTACAAGATTCGCCGACGAGGAAAATTGTAAAATATAATTATGAAAATAAAAATTAATTGACGATCATTGGACGCAAGAATTGCGCTGCGTGCAGTTAGAAATGTTTTTCCGATCGAGGACTATAATGCATTTTTTGTTTCTTTACTCACATCCCATATGATTAAGATAATGATTGTATATTTTATTTTTACTATATATTTATGAAAAACATATTTGTCATTTTAAATGACATAAAATTATGTCATTTTAAGAGAGAAAAAGACACAAAAAAATATTTTTTATTTAAAATTTAAATTAAAAAACCACTCACTTTCTCTCCCATGATTTTTATTTCTTGTGTCTATCTCTTTCTTAAAATGACATAATTTATGTCATTTAAAATGACAAACATCAAACCGTATATTTATTGGTTTTGACTTACCAACAGATTTTATCCTACATATTTGATAATTCATTAGCGTTTTTTCTTTTTTTCTTTTTTCTTTTTTGAAATCATTGACTAGCGTGTTTCGTTTGGCGATTGGCAATCATCTGATTGTGTTTCTGGGATCATGTCCCCCATTATTACTTGGTAATGTCAAAACAGAGACCCGATACATCTTGTGATTGCCTTTCAAAAGAGCACATTGTCATTTTTTAATTTTCATTATGATGTTATGTATTCCTAGTCTTAGGATGTTATACAAATAAGCAAAAAGAAAAGAGAATGAAACATGAAATCTAAATGATTTCCAACCTTTTCTTTTTAATAATGTCATTAAAGTTTAAAACGATAATATCAAACAAATTGCCAAAACTTATTGCTACTAGAGATGTAAATGAGTCAGCCGATCTAATAAGAATCTATGATTCGGCTTATTACATATAGTCAAACAGAACAGGCTCAGATAAAAAAAAGTCTATTTAGAAAGAGGCCATAAGCTTTTTTCTATATGCCTAACCTATAAGGCTATAAACCTACACATCAGCTTATATCATATTATTTATTTTAAATAAAATTAATAACTTTTTATTTTAATAATTTTAAATAATAAAATAATATTATTTTAGTCATTTTTTTAATTATTGAATACTTAATAGGATTAAACGGATTAATAGGTCAGACTTTTTTTTTTTTTTTTGATAACAGACTTTTTTTTTTTAATATAGGTCAGACTAGACTCATAATTTTAGCATATTCAAAACTAAATGATCAAACCAAACATAAAATATTTTATACAAATTTAATTTATTTAAGTTAAAAGATAATCTAATTCAGCCTATTCATACCCCTAACCGCCACTGGTTAGTTTCTATATCATTTCCACTTCATCTACTCTCTATGTGCAAGACTCTCCCTATGCAAGCTGTTCATATCATTAATGCGAAAGGAACTAATAATGCATTAAAAAAAAGGGTTTTATAAGAGTTATGTTGTAGGAAAAATGATTGTGTTATGTTATAGAGATTCGTTTTGCGTGCCAGAGTTTTTTTTTTTTTTTTTGCTGCGGGCCCCACAAAATGTTCTGTGTATAGGAAAATTTTTGTGGTCATATTAAATAATAGATGATAAACCCTAAAAAAAAATATTGAAAGTAGCATTAGCACCTAGAAATAGTGCTCAGTGATGTGTCGAGCTTTACAATGAAAAGCTGAAACGATAAAAATAATGTTAGTGCTATACTCGAGTAATAAAAAAAATACATGTATAACATTTTTCTCTGTGTCATTAATTTGACATTTTTCAATTCGATACGTCAAGGCAATATAAGTTAATGTTCAAACAGAGAGAAGGGAAAGATTGCGACAAAAAGATTGCATTAGCCATAAAAAACTTATCATGATATTTGGGGAATGCGGTGTCAAATTTAATGATCAAATAAACTAAAAGACACTTATTATGGTAGCTCCGTTGATATCAATAAATTGAGCAGGTAAAATTGAGAGCATGTGTTTGATTCTTTTCAATATTGTTTTTAGAAGAGATTTATAATCTTAATTCTAGGACTCGCCTCGAATCATACTAGTCGTGAAACGATGAACTAATTAAAATATATCAACAACAAAAAAAACTAAAAGAACCAAAAAAAAATTGTGATGAGTTTTAGATGAGATAATGTGCAAAGTGTGAGGTATGTTGTGTCCAAAACTCACACTAACATGTCACCAGCTTAGATCATGGCTTTGGCATTCTTTTTGCAAACGTTGCCGTTGACGCAACAATGTGAACAAATAATGGCGCCTAACGTGACAAAGAATATCAGTTGCATGGGATATATATGAATATCAAAAGAATTTCCCATCATTTCCCCACTCTCCTTTTCAATTGTTTGTGATTGAAACTAAAAATCACTTTTGTTCCACTTCTTCCTTGAAGCCAAGAAATATCAACCACTACCAGAATATTTAAAGGTGTGTTCTCCCTCTCTTTTCTTTTCATGTTGTATGATTGATGTGTATAGTTAGTTGAAGTGGGGTGCAATATAGTAATCAGTCAAAAGTTTGGCCATTTACTCTTTGTGATATGTAAAGTTGGTTTATTTTTAAAATGTACAAGTAAGGGTGTATTTATTTTATTTTAATTTATTTTCTCAATTGATTAAAATTTAAAAATGCTATTTATATTTTTTAAAAATAAGTTCATATAAAAAAAATTATGGATTTAATGTTTCTTGTATTGTAGAAGATAATTTATCTTATACATACAGAAAAATATATAGGACCCATGCAGATCAATGTGAAGAGAAAAAAGAAAAAGAAAAATTATGGATCTTATATTTTTTTTGTATATGTAGAAAATAAATTATCTTTTACAACATTAAAAATATTAAACCCAAAAATTATATCCGTTCTCTGTGAAAGGTGATCAATTATTATGCCGCATATATATTCGTTTAAAGAGATAAGCTTAAAAACTTGATAAGAGGAATATATGTACATTATTCGTTCACATGCCGTTGGATAGATAGCTAGGGGAGATAAAATACATGATCCACCAATATTTCAAAAAATTTGATGTGTTATATCTTATACTTTTTGACACTCATTGACACTCCTACACTCTAAGATGTATTGTAGAGACTCAAAAAAGATTTCAAATGTTGCATTGCGTTACGTTGATTGTTGCATTTTTAGTTCTATCTATTAGATTCATTGGATTGCGATTACCATTTTATTGAGTTTAATATAAATATTTATGATTTTTTATATTTCTTTGCAAAATTGATGGAGATTATAAGTTCAGCTTGATTTTTTTGTTAAATTATTGAATATTAAATATAATATACACTACATAAATTAAAAATATTATTTAATATCAAAACATGTCCTAATATTAAATATAATATTTTTTAGAATTAACGCATCCGAGTGTCGTATCATATTGTATCTGATGTTCCGTGTCGGTGCAATATATAATAAAACCATCAATCAAATCTAAGCATCTTGTATTTTCTTTTGTGGTTAATAATTTTTTTTTTTAAAAGATCCTCGAGATATACAAAATTTACTGGCAGCACAGTTATATATAATCTGTATTAACTACTCATAATAAGCATAAGGAAATAATAAATAGAACTATATCTACAATCCCTATAATTATTTTCCTGCAAGTGTAACAATTTAGGTGATAATAGCAATGGGGGCGAAATTATCACTGTATATTTTTTTTTTTTTTTTTTTGAGTTACCCAACCCTAATTACCTCTTTGAGGCGAGTTGGTTCCCTCCGGTATTCCCACAAGCTTCGACTCTTTGAGCCGGCTATGAGACTAATCCGGAGTGCGGGGGTCAGTGATGGCTAAAGGTTCAGCCCCCTCCCCAAGAATGCATTCAGCGGGAATCGAACACATGTCCAACCCCACTAACTCAGCGCCAAAGAACCAACTGAGTTGCACCCATTGGGTCTATATATTCTTTCTTATTAGTTATAATTATTTATATATATAAAAATAAAGCAATATTCATAATTTAAGGCTAATAATAATCTTAAAAAATTATATAAATAACACTCACTATTAAAGTTTTGAATGAACTTTCGAGGGCGATTGCCCATCTAAACCCTCGGTTCCATCACTGGATAGTAGGCAATATAAGAAAGGGTTCGATGTTTGTGATTTTAAATGACATAAGTTATGTCATTTTAAGAGAGAGATAGACACAAAGAATGAAAATCACGAGGGAGAAAGTGGGTGGTTTTTTTTAATTTTAAATAAAAAAATTTATTTTGTGTCTATCTCTCACTTAAAATGACATAAATTTATGTCATTTAAAATGACAAATACTTTTTCTTATAAGAAAAATGTATTAAAAATACTTTTTTATAATATTTTACAATTTTTAAAAAATTTCCCTTTACATCCAACATTTGTTATACTTGTTATCTTAGAGGGGCAAACAACAAATTGATACGTTTTTTCCTTTAGACGATGAAAAACACTACCTCTCCGCTGCATATTTGGTAATAACTATTTAATATGGCAACAGGTGAAGTTGGACAAAACTGAAGAAAATTTTGTACAATGCAACTTTATTTTGAGGCGTTAGGTTGGATTGCCCGTCAAGGATCCATTTTGATAAATTTTTATAAATTACATTATGTATTTTCGAAAATACATAATGTAGTTTGTAAAAAGTTTATAAATATAATTTTTCCCTTAAATAAATGAACAATTCATGCCCATATTGAGTTAAAGTTTGTCATTTTGTATTTTGTATTTTATATTTTTTATAAAGAATCAACTTATAAAAGTCTAAACTTTAGAGTTGAAATGATTTTTTACATTGTATCACAACCGACATAACTAAATGGTGATGAGTTTAATTTCAATTGTCCCCGTTCAATTAATAAATAATTAAATATTAAAGAATTTTTTTTAACACAATAAAACTAAAAAAAAAAACTCTTATGTAAGAGAGTGTATTACTTGTCACTTGTCAACTTAAACTTTTGGATTAGAATAGTTATTTACAATTTTATATTTCTCTTGCATAGACCTTATTTTGGCATTGCCTGCTTGCTGGTTTTGCCTCAATTCCACAACATTTAGCAATTAGCCCCAACAAATAAGTGCAGAACAAAGTTTCTAGGCAGAAGCTGAGCATTCAAACTGAATCATTTACATCAGAATCAGAATACAGCACAGAAAATAGAGCAGTTACTGGTAAGTAAAACTGCAGGATCCGCAGTGTATTTGATGTGCATAAAATGCACTTTGAGCGCTTCATTATATCAGCACTCTCCATTTTTCTCTTAGTCATCCTCTCAAAATCTAATACTAAAATTATCCTTACATGTACAGTCAATGAAATGGTTACGTATAAGGGATAATGCAAAATTGAAAATTTATTTATAGCAACAGAAAATAAACTTCTAAGTTTCACGCTATCCAGTTTATGTAACACGCACATATTTGTTACTTGGTTCCCTACATAAACTGGCAAACAAACAAATTTGATTCGTGAAGACAAATCCATGTCAAATGAATTACCTGACCTGAACAAATTCTGAATTAGGGTTGCTATTGGCAACCGCTAACTGATGACTGATTAGCACCATAAAATAGGATTATTAACAATGACAAAGTCAGAAAATTTTGTGAGAGGAAACAAGGAAAGTGAAATTCTCAATGACTTGGACCGGACAACACAATAGTGGGTCAATACGTAGCCAAAATTGAATAATTCTTCAACTTTTGTTCATACATGAGGAATAATAAAGAAAAATGGGGTAAATTTTTGCTACACTACCTTTCTTGTAAGTCTTAATGTAGTCTAAGACAAAGATTTAATGCAATTGAGGGGAGGAGATCACCCATCCTAATCCCTCCATGGTTAGGGCACTGATGATTAAATGATGTTGTGATATCTTTGATCAAAGGCAAATGCCATGCACGAAGTAAGTGTTTCCTCTGTACCTAAGCATCCTATTGTGTGCTCCAACACACCACATATGGCCTTGCAGGTCCAAATGTCCTTTCATTTCAGCCATTTCCCATACTAACTTGAAAAGCCCAAGCGCCCTGTCCAACTGCTTCACACCACGCCCAACCATCTTCTCACTATCTGAAGTCAAAATTCTTCCCATTAACAAGCTAAACCTGTTGTCACTTCCATTTCCATAAACCCCACCACGCATATCTAATTCAATATCTGTAACTCTTCCGTAGAGGTAATACATTAATAGAGTGAATAAGCAACGAGATGAGTGACCCAATGTTTTGGAAAGCTTCTTCTGCACTAGGTTTTCTTGATGTCGAACTTCCTTGTATCCAACTTTGTTGTCAGTAAAAATATCCTTGATATGCAATAGCCCCTCCTTCATGACCTCAGCCTTATCCACATGCAACTTTAATCTCGTTTCACTTCTACAACATTTGATTAGATCATTGAACATCCCTAGAACATCTTCCCATTTCTGGGAATCAGAAAAATTAACAGTTTTGGAAGGCAAAAGCTTCATCCATGAAGAAGAGTCAGGGTCAGAAAAAAGGGCAGTTTCAGTCAGAAACTTAAGGCAGCTATGAACAATTTGCTGACCCAACAACATAGTACCTTCGTTTAAGCCCTGAGAACCCAAAGAATCCAAATCGACTTTGAAACTATTCAGAATTTCTTCAAGTGCACCAGTCCATATACGGTGCTGGGTAACCTGTGGGCACACTCTAAAACGAACTAACTTCCTTTGTTGAGCAGAAACACTGAGAAAGTTGCTCACTTTGGTCAGTGAATCAATTACCAAAGGTTCTCTTTCACTTGCTTTACAGAAAGGAGTAAATGAATCGTGTTGTGTATCAGTGTTGGAGGAGGCCAGAACATGTTTCATTTTGTGCTGAACAGATGGAGACCCAATAAACACCCGAACAAGAGACTTGAAGGTACACATTTCATGCTCAATTCCATCATCAAAAATGGCTGAATTACTATTTATATCAACAAGTCTTCCATCAATTGCATCCACATTTGCTAGCAAATCAGCCAACTTTGTTATCCTTGGAAACTCATTCTGATACCATTGCAAGTCAAAAACATGTTGTGAAGAGTGATAAAGCATTGAGTTCAGGTAAAAACCTACACATTTGTTGGTTCTGAAATAGTTTCCACTGTAAAGCAGCCCCCGAAATCTAGAAGCCATTACTACCTGCTATGTTAAAAGGGATAGTAAAAAGCTCTATGATCCCAAAGGCTATAAAAAGATCATTGCATTCTGTCACGCATTTTATCAAGCATGTTGCAGTCACTATAAAAAAAAGAACCTCTATATCTCTAATCTAATATTCACAGTCACAATATAATTATAGTTACAATAAAAATATAAAGCAACATGATACACGAAGGCAGCGGAGAGGGGTAACCAGTAATCAGTAATCAGCTATGCAGACACCAACCTCAACGACATTCAGACATGCAGCGAACTGTGAAAATTTTAAAATCTCCTGCCAAAAAATTATTTAATCTTCCTATTATATATCAAGGGTTTTATTAATCTATTTTTACATAAGATAGATATCTTACGTTGTAGAGAGAAACTAGGTGGGTCCCACCATTAAAAAAAAAAAAAAAAAGTAAAGTGCAGAAATCGTGAGAGAAAATGAGATAAGTTACCTCATGTAAAAGGAGACTAATATTTTCCCACATTAAAATGTAAATATGATTTTTTTCTCATTTTAACACGGTTTAAAATATTTTTATATAAAGGGGTTAATGTTTCTGCTCCATATTTTTTTAACACACTGACATAAAAATTAATAAGTTTCACTAATTTTTTCTTTTTTTTTTTCTTTATAACAAAACTCTCTTATTTTTATACGAGTATAGCAGAAAAAAATCTACTAAATATCTTTTCTTTCTATAAAATCAATTGTTAATAATTATAGTGATATTTTTTATTTTATAAACAAATAAATTCATAAATTTTAATGATTATATTCGTATAACGAAAGAAAATAATCATTTTAATTATTGATTATTAACTTATTATTGAAAATTATGAATAATTAAAACTCTCTCACATAATATAATTATATTAAAATAAGATATGAGATATTTGGGAGAAAATTTATTTGTTAATTTTTCAAAAAAAAAATTGAATGTATATAATATATTAACATTTTCAATTTAATTTTTAAATAATTATAATTATCTGATTTTATTTTTTAACACATAATTTTTCATATTTAAAAGGATATTTATTATTTTAATATATATATTATAGATATTTATCACTTTTTTTATAAATGATCTCTAGCTTATTAAAATCCAACTAACAATTCTCATTTGATATTATTTTATAATTATTAATTTTATTTTGATTCAAAATTAATAAAATTAATGTTCAAAAATGAAAAAAAATAAATGTAACATTTTCATATGTATATGGGTTTTAAATTTTTCATGTTATACGAGACGAAATTATATTCTATACACATATAGAAGTATGAAGGCAAAAAAATTTACATATGATTATTTTAATAAATAATTAACGGATACATAACCGTTTTGAACCAATTTACAGATGTATTGCACTCAGTTCTGCCCCACTTAGGCAAAACATGTTTTACCTAAATTAAGCGAAATAAGGAAGGGAGTTTCGCCCAAGCTAAGCGAAACTAGTCTCGCCCAATTGAGGCGAGACTCAAGCCCTCTTTTTGCCTTAACCAAATGTGATTGGCTCAGTTATCCCTATTTAAACCACTATCCTCTCCTTCAACCAAAAAAAAAAAAAAAACACTATCCTCTCCACACTCTTCTCTATCATAAACCTCCTCTCCACACTTTTCATGCTCTCTTTTATTTATTTTTTGTTTATATATTTAAGAATGAGTTCACATTCTGATTCTATTCATGTTGTTTTATATCATAATGGTATGAAAGTTGAAAGTCGACGTGATGTAGTTTTTAAAGGCGAAAAAAAGCCAACACTTATCAAGCGCAACTCAACAATTGCTAAACTGCATCAGAGATTCATCATAAGTTAGCTCTCTAAGGTAACTAATCTATCACTCTGGTCACGGCAAGATTATGGCAATCTAAACAATACATTAGTTTGCAAGTGGTGGAAGATGAAGACATAGATATGATCATGGAAGAATTCTTCAACCAGTCAAGGAAAGATTTCTTAGAGTTGTATGTGGATATTGCCGGAATAGAAGATGTTGTTTTACCTATGAGGATAGTTGTTTTCAATTCTCCACGTAACGCATCATCATTTGCTGCTCCAGTTGTTAACATGTTTGAGGAAGATGAAAATGACCTTACCTGGGTTATGGATGACGACTATTATGATGACGATGATGATAATATCGCAATGGAAGATCATCTTTTGGCTGAGGATGCTAGTTCTACAGACAATGACAAGGATCATGGTCTGTTCACGACTCAAATAGAAGAATATCATGATCGATGGGGAGTCTTGTAATGCCCCAATTTGAAAATCGGATTGTTAACTAACATATGGTAATAAAAATGCATCAAACTTGATTAAAGTAGCGGAAGACTTAACAAAAATTTCTAATTACGCAAAGTAATTTCTTGAGACAACTTTTCCTTTTTAATTATTCCTACAAGTTGCTATATCTATATTATATATCTTGTTTCTATAAATTGTACAGTCTCATACCTGTATAGAAATTCAAATTAAATTCCATGTGACCATAATCAATGACCAATGACTATACGAATATGGTAATTTATACCATTCTGTATAGTCTAACAGACAGTATAACGGCTATAAATTGGACTAATCTAAGGATCGAATCCTTCCATCTTAACTTGTCCTGAAATACAGAAAAGTACAACCAATCTGGCCATGCCATTACAATCTGTCCGTGCCAATCTGTCCAAGGGAAGCGTCTGCTAAAATTGATTAGAGTCGCAGCGTTTTCGTATAAAATTCTTATTTTAAAACAACATTTTGATGTTACCAATTAAAATCTTGCCTGGAAAACTGACTTCATAATCTAAAAACAGCAAGTAAATCTTAAAAAGGCTTTCGTTGCGCAACTCTGAATTTTCTTGAAAACAGCCTGTCTTGCAAAAATCATGTAAATTCGAAATCAAAAGCTTAAAAAAAATTCTTTGTTACGAAGAAACTAGACATCCGGGGCTTTACGTGCATATAAAAATTATTTCGTTCGGAGGTGTCTAGCTCCCGAAACAGAACTCGCAAAGTACAAGATAAATCAGTACAAAAGTTCCAAAATGACCTGACTTGTAAAAATCATAGTAAATCGGGCTTATAAGCTTTGAACTTAATCTTTATATAATCTGAAAGAACACAACCGGGGCTTTATATACATATAAATTATACCTCATTCGGAGGTTTGTAGCCCCAGAACGACAACTCGCAAAGTGCTCGCAACAACGGTTCAAAAATCCGAATTTTAAATACAGCAGAATTATTTTCGCAAACTAAATACTAGACATAAAAAAAAATCATGCTACGTTTCTTTTCAAAACAGAATATACATCATGGCATGCCATCCTTTAAGAAAATACAACAAGGTCAAATAATCAGAATACTATCAGCAGAAACAGTGAGCAAACAGCAAGGTTGCCCACAGCATAACTCAAACAGATTTATTCATGTGATCATGTCATCAAACACCTCTTCAAACGCTTCTAAGTCCTCCTGAAATTTATAAAATTGAGCCCCCGAAGGGGTGAGAAAAATCCCAGTAGTGTGATAGTAAAACCAGTAAAGCAACAATATTAGACTAGGCATAGAATTCCAAAACAGTCGCATCAACCTATAATCTTCCGGACAGATGCTAACATAATCATAGTGCGTATATAACGTCAAAGTACTAATCATGGTGCGTATATAACGCCATAGTCATCATAGTGTGTATATAACGCCATAGTCATCATAGTGTGTATATAACGCCATGGTAATGTAGGCTCATAGAACTGCAGTGCACGTACTAACATACACAGTGGAGATTCTATATTGGCTCCCATCAAAGGTGAATTCCAACTGTGGCCTGTGCGGACTGAAGCCAAGTGTCCCATACCCTGGTACCGCAGGATGCCTATATGATGCGTGCTCAATCATATGCTTACTTATATTATTTAATTCGGCTTTCAAGCTGGATGCACAATGTTGTATGCCATGATATGCTTCGCACACACAAAAAGAAGAAGATGAATTATGATGCATATATGCATGACTATATCATCATCATAATAGCATATCTTTCATGTATTTTCAATACCAAGCTGCCGCATAACAATTACTTCTCATAGCAGAATCTCTACCATATCACGTTCATAGGCAGAATACATATAACATATAACAGAATACAGTCCAAGGCACATGTGAGCAACAATTCACAATTCCATACACTAGCTAATAGTCACAATAGGTCTCACCACCAAACATTTGCTTGATACTTTAGCTTTCTAATCAAAACAGCCCCAAGTCCGTCCAACATCCGTGAGGTTTATGAACCTAATCAAAAGTACCAAACAGAATTTCTTTACTTTATTTATTTACAAAATGCAAGGTTCCATTCAGAATTTATGACATAATTTTCCTATACATTACATAGTTTTTCCATTCTCCTAAATCATTGATTTAAAAACGGTTCCATGGTTTGTGACTGAATTCGTATTCTGATCTAAGGTGAACTTACCACATGTTATCATATGGCATCATCAAGGTTTCTAATGCATGTAAGCTCGGTTTTCATCCACACTAGGTGCTTATAATTTCTCTTTAACAAAACTCCACCTACATCACTTATACAGAAGCTATTAGGCTTTTTACATGTTGTCTACATGAGTTATCAATACATGCAATGCTTGAATCAAATCGGTTTTCATGGTTCTTGTTCCAATTTAATTATTTTGCCTTAGAGCTTCTTTTACCAATCGATGACAGTGACATAACCCTGGCCTTCCATGCATGTAGGTTCGGTTTCTTGTTCCTAACATATGCTTCCAATTTTCATTTACAAAAGTGCTCAAAATCCAATATTATTTATGCCTGCAGGTTCGATTTTTATCATCACAATGTGCTTATAATTTTTATCATTTTACATAGCATATCCTACATGATTTCAGGGGGCATTAATGAGGCTTAAAAATGCTGTCTACATAATTTTAACATATGCAGGGTTATGTACATAGTCTTAGTCTAAGGAAATAATCTAACCATTGATGGGACCATTTTCCAAACCCCAAGCATCAATTCTTAAGACATGTCAGCATCAAGGTGCACAGTTTAATCGGCTATACAACATGAGGAAGTAAATGACACAATGCACAACTCCTTAAC